TGCTGATATGTTGGTGACTTCTGCTACCATCCATGATGAACTGCATTTCTAATGTCGGACTGTGTGTGTTAGCACTTCGGATAGCTACCGTATGCTCTTAATGCGTATGTATGCTAGTGCATATGCTAAGACAGCAGTCTGTTAATCTTTCCACAAGGGAGTGTGATAAATATTCTGTGTGTTCTTCGTTGGCACAGGAGCGAAGCAACTATGGGATGACCCGTTTGCAATGAAGCTGAAACTGAGATTACTATATTACCAGATGGAACTCATTAAAACTTAAAACTGCTACTTTTCAGTTATAGGTTTCACAACATTGATGTAGATAATATTGTTAGGTAAAGTTAATTTTGTATTGCTGTAGGATATTTTTGGTTTCCATTACTAATTTTTAGTTATTTTTTTTTTAGGGCTGTACCGAATAGTGAATTTTACTATTCGGCCGAATACGAATAGCTGGACCAACTATTCGGCCGAATACGAATACGAATAGTAAATCATCATCATCAGGTGCTTTGCCGACCGGCCTTGGTGATTATACCTTACCACAATCGTCGATCTCCTGCAGCATGTATTAGTTCGTGTGCTGACACACCTCCATGCCACGCAACAAGACTATCAAGAATCTTCTCTCGTTGTCTTCCTCTATCCCTCCTTCCACAGATCTTTCCAGTGGTCACATGTTCCATTTTCCCTCATCTTATAACATGGCCGAAAAATGAGGACTGTCTCCTTCTGATGTCTGTGAGTAGTTGTCTTTGGGCTCCCGCCTCTCTCAAAACCTCTTGGTTGCGTTTTTTTTTTTTTTTTTTTTTTTTTTTTCTGTCTAAAGTATTTTAAGCATTTTTCTGTAAAACCACATCTCTGAGGCCTCATGAAATTCACAGCCATATGTTAAAACTGGATGTATGTAGCAAGCAAAAAAGCATTAGCTTTAAAACACACACACACACATATTTTGTCAGCATTAAGGCAGCTTCTTGTCTCACTGAAGGAATTCCACCTGCATTAAACAGACGTTCACTTGGTACGCTCGCACAAATTAACTCTTGACAGTATGAAACAAGGTGGGAAATCCTAATATGTTCATTTTCCACCAGTCCAGAAAAGGGTGTAAGGTAACCACTATTCGTATTCGGCGCGACCGCAACTATTCCGCCGAATACCGAATAGTTATTAGATCCACTATTCGGCCCCGAAGCGAATACGAAGCGAATATTCTGTACAGCCCTAATTGTTTGCGATTTTATTATTTGTTCCTTAGTAAATAAAACATTTAAGAAATATAATAGGTATAGAATAACGATATTGTAAAGGAATCGACGCCAGGGGTGGTACTGTGTCATTATTAGTAAGAAAGAGGTAATGTATTTGCAGATTATGCTGCTTGTCTGTTTGAGATTAACAGATTTTCTATTAACACATGAACCGATAATAATAATAACAAAAATACAACACTATACAATTCATACTACTAGTCAAAAATCAACACCACCCTATTGTTTTCGGTACACTTTTATAAAAGCGCATAGAATGATTAAAGAAAAAAAGAAAAGAAGGTAACAAAAGTGATCCCCCTAGTGGGATGTAATTTTTTTTTTTTTTTTTTTTTTAAGCCCCACCCTGGCTTTTGACAGGGTCCGCAATATAGCCCGATCATAAATATGGTCTAATGGCTGAGAGCGGTTTCCGGGACTTCTCCACGGGTGATCTCTCATCCATATGGTGGCACTTTGTGTCATCGGGTATTTATCGCTTATGTGATGTCCTGGTGGGGGAGAAAGTCAGTCAGTCAAATAAAGAAGATTTTAGTAGAAGTGGGTGATGTGCGTTCCTGTGACATTCCTCTATACACACAAAGCATAAAAATAACTTATCGATAACCATGTTGATACCGTCCAATTTTGTTTTCGAAACCAAATTCACATTTTAAATCTGTTTTTTTTTTTTTTAAACTTCCGTACAACTAGACACTTCTTCTTCACCCAAAGGTTTTTTATGTGTACAATATAAACAGTTTGCAGGATGCTGATGGCATAGCCTTGATAGCAACAAGTCAGAAAGAACTACAGGAAATGATAGACATTGTGGTGATAGAAAGTGGAAGAATGGGCTTTAGTCTGAACAATGGGAAGACAGAAGTGATGGTGGTATCAAAGAAATGAATTATTCAAAAATGTGTAATATAAGTCAATGATGTAATTTTGGGACGAGTACAGAAAATTAAGTATATGGGGACATGGATAATATCAGATTGAAAATTCATAACTGAGATAAGAAACCGAATAGGACAGGCAAAAACTGCATTTTATAAAAAAAAGAACATCTTATGCAATAAATCTTTGTCATTGAGGGTTGGAAAAAAGAATTCTTCTTGTTCTTCTTTTTCTTCTTCTTCTTGTTCTTCTTCTTGTTCTTGTTCTTGTTCTTGTTCTTGTTCTTCTTCTTGTTCTTCTTCTTCTTCTTCTTCTTCTTCTTCTTGTTCTTCTTCTTCTTGTTCTTGTTCTTCTTTTTCTTCTTTTTCTTGTTCTTTTTCTTTTTGTTCTTCTTCTTCTTCTTCTTTTTCTTGTTCTTCTTCTTCTTCTTCTTCTTCTTCTTCTTCTTCTTCTTCTTCTTCTTCTTCTTCTTCTTCTTCTTCTTCTTCTTCTTCCTGTTCTTCTTATTCTTCTTCTTCTTTTTCTCGTTCGTGTTTTTCTTCTTCTTCTTCTTCTTTTTCTTCTTTTCTTCTTTCTTCTTTCTTCTCTTCTTCTTCTTCTTTCTTCTTCTTCTTCTTCTTCTTCTTCTTCTTCTTCTTCTTCTTCTTCTTCTTCTTCTTCTTCTTCTTCTTCTTCTTCTTCTTTTTCTTCTTCTTCTTCTTCTTCTTCTTCTTCTTCTTCTCTTCTTCTTCTTCTTCTTCTTCTTCTTCTGTTCTTCTTCTTCTTCTTCTTCTTTTTCTCGTTCGTGTTTTTCTTCTTCTTCTTCTTCTTCTTCTTCTTCTTCTTCTTCTTCTTCTTCTTCTTCTTCTTCTTCTTCTTCTTCTTCTTCTTCTTCTTCTTCTTCTCCTCCTTCTTCTTCTTCTTCTTTTTCTTCTTCTTCTTCTTCTTCTTCTTCTTCTTCTTCTTCTTCTTCTTCTTCTTCTTCTTCTTCTTCTTCTTCTTCTTCTTCTTCTTCTTCTTCTTCTTCTTCTTCTTCTTCTTCTTCTTCTTCTTCTTCTTTCTTCTTCTTCTCTCTTCTTCTTCTTCTTCTTCTTCTTCTTCTTCTTCTTTCTTTTTCTTGTTCTTCTTCTTGTTCTTGTTCTTCTTGTTTGTTGTTGTTCTTGTTTCTTGTTCTTGTTTCTTGTTCTTCTTCTTCTTCTTCTTCTTCTTCTTCTTCTTCTTCTTCTTCTTCTTCTTCTTCTTCTTCTTCTTCTTCTTCTTCTTCTTCTTCTTCTTCTTCTTCTTCTTCTTCTTCTTCTTCTTCTTCTTCTTCTCCTCCTTCTTCTTCTTCTTCTTCTTTTTATTCTTCTTTTTCTTCAGCATTCCGAGCCCAAGTGTTTGCAGGTCTGTCTGGGCATTATCTCTCCATATTTTTCTTCGTCTGTCTCGTGGTCTGCGACCATTCATCTCCCTTGTGTATACAGTTTTAACTTTTCTGTCAACTGACATTCTTTTATTTTGCCCCAACTATTTCAATTCCCTGTTAACACATAGTGCACAGCTGCACTACCTTTCCGCTTCAGGAATGGCAAGCTATTCTTTAGGAATCCCTTTGGAATTGTGTGGACTTGATGCGTCTACGCTATCCTGACAGCCTTGTTGCGTCTAAATGTCTGTTTCCATATCAATACGCCACGAGTCAGTTTGGTATTCAATAAATGATGTTTTCACCTAAATTACTTTCTTTTATATCAGATTTTTTTTACTGCTTCACGCAAAGGTATTTCTAAGCAGCCCTGGACTTTAAAAGAATATATATATATATATGGTTGGTTAGTTAGTTTGTTGGGTAATCATTATGGCACTCCGGACATGTCCATAGGTGCTCAGATCCGATGGCTTAAAGTACCAGTTCTATGTTGATTAACAAGTCTTCTGGCGTGTCTGGTGTGCGTCTCGTTTTTTTGCTATGCCGATCTTAATTCCCAAGTCTGCCATTCTGGCGAGTGATGTGGATTTATCCTTCCCATTTCTCTGAGGGCATTAATATATATGTATATATATAAAAACATATATGTGTGTATGTGTGTGTGTGTGTAGCGTTCCTGACGGAACCGGTCCTTTAAGAGAAGTTACCTTGACTGCCATGTCGACCCTGCCATGAGTGAGTACCAAGGTAAAAATCTTGGGAAGTAAAGGCGGCCGGCGTGACCATATTACCCACATAGTGCCTACTGGTCTATAAAAAATAGGTCTGGAGGCAGAGAAAGGGGTCATTTACGGTTTTTACATAATATTACATTCTAAGGCGAAAATGATGGTAATTACAAAAACTTGGTGTTTACAGTTAACTTTTCTGGCGGATAGGTTGACATAAAAACGCCGAGGCTGATATGAAAATATTATTGAATAGTAAAAGAAATACAGACAGTGAGACAGACAAATAGACGTTAGAATTGACACGTAGATAGACAGACAGGATGCATGCACAGGAATAAAGTAATGACCCAACAGTTGTACCATCAGGGTGTAGACTGAATGGCACACTGAAGAAAAGTATAGCAGCAACGACGAAAAAAAGAATAAGGGGAAGGAAGAAGAGGATGAGAAGGGGGAGGAGGAGGAGAAAGAAGAAGAAGAAGAAGAAGAAGAAGAAGAAGAAGAAGAAGAAGAAGAAGAAGAAGAAGAAGAAGAAGAAGAAGAAGAAGAAGAAGAAGAAGAAGAAGAAGAAGAAGAAAGAAGAAGAAGAACAACAACAACAACGACAACAACAACAAAAACAACAACAAAATGTTGATGATGAATATAATGATGATGAAAAGGACGACAACGACGACGATGATGAGAAAAAAAATTTTTTTTAAAAAAATTAAAAACAGGAGATTATTAGTAAGTGTTAATATGTATGCTAGGAACTGGCCCTTCTTCGTCTTCCCGTTTCACATTTATATTTTTGTCATCGCAGTCATAATTGTTCTTTGTGTATGAGTTCACGTGAATATTGTCATGCAGAGAGTTTTTCAAACTTGACAATATCTGTAGTTTGTTCATGTAGTTTTCTGCCGATTCCACAGTGAACGCTGCAAACTGTGATTTCTGATTTAGTGCTCCATCGATTATGAAGGATTTGTTGGCAGTTTCGTAACTGGGCAAAGCTGAAGTGACACCAGGCACTTGGTAGCACATACTTTGAGCCTGTGAATTCAGAATGGCTCGTGACAAAAAAGATGCTGTACCAAGTTGAAGATTTTCTGTCGCTGTGCTACGTTTTCGAAGTACCTCAGTTGTCGGCTCCTTTTTGGTATGTACCTTCTGATGCCTCTCCAGGTTGCTTTTGTGACTGGTAGCATAGCCGCAAATTTCACAGAAGAAATCTTTCTGGCCGCTGTGAACAGTCAGGTGTCGTCGAAGCAAAGCTTTTCGGCAGAAGTTTCTGGAGCATATCTGGCATCTGTAGCCTCCTCGGTGAAATATAGAGTTGTGATCTCGAAGAGCAGCCTTGTTTTGGAAGCTGATGCCACAGCACTCCAAGCTCTTACTGCTGTCCTGATGCATGGTCATGATGTGTCGCTTGAGATTGTTCTTGCGGTCAGTCAGATACCTGCACTGAGGACACTTAAATGTCTTCTTGTCGTCAGCAATGCAAGCGTGTGCGCAGAGGGATACATATTGTTGGTGAGACCGTTTTGTTTTGGCGACTCAGCTTCAGAGTTAACCGTTGCGTTTTTTCTGAGTTCACTGCTGAAGCCAACTAGAGACGACGTATCGGTTCTTCTTTATTTCTTCTAGTGTTAGTAAGAATTTCTGCAGAAGTATATGCTTTTCTATTGTTTTCTATTTGAGACAAATCCTTCAATGTATTAATGTACTTTTTCATTTTACCTGTACATTTAGCCATTGTTGGATTTAGCGATTCCTGTCTTTTCTTAATAATATTTTGATTGCCTGGTGTCATGAAATGCTTTCGGTAATTATTCATGGCTTTGTGTTTTAATTTCTGAACATATGTTTGGTGCCTTTTCAATTCGCGAACTTTTGAATTCCTGCTGGATGTGTCGTATAATTTAAATGGAACCTGTAAGCAGTCCGATAAAGCTTCAGTAGAGTTGGTTCTGCTACTCTGCCAATGGAAATTGTTGTTCTTGAAGGAATCAGTTTGCCTAGACAAACGCAGATCTGATGCTTCAGTGGCATCTGCTCTCATATTGCGTGTTGTGCTGTTTTTCTTTGGGGTAAGATGATTCCCTGCGATTCAAAAACTGTATTTGTCCCCGAAGCGTTTCTTTGAATATATTGTCCACATCAAGCTCTGATCTAGAATGATAATCTTGTAAAGTGGATAGGCAAGAAAAGAGGTAAGGTATGTTTGAATAAACGGCATTCGGTTGGGCAATGACACCATGTCTTATAAATGGGACTCTAACGTTGAAGCCATATGGGTTTATGTGATCTTCACAGTCGGCGGTCAAGGTTACTTGATGATCGGGGTAAAATGGGTTTAGAAAAGGCTGCATATTGGATATTCTGATTGCTTTCGGCTTCACAATCCCACTGTGAGCTCTGGTGCTATCGAAATAGTTTGAGGCATGATTGCAGCGAAGATTCAACAGGGTATCCACAGATGTATGAGGACTAGAAAGTAGCGGATGCAGGTAACGCCCACAAAGCACACTAGACGGATGTCTATACCATGGTGCCAGGAGTGGCGCATCCTCTGTAATCTCCATCTGTTGGTATAAGACAGAAACAAATGTATACAATTGATAGCATTTATCCAAAAACTGTTTAAAACCATTTGTGGTGTAATTTAGTGCAGACAGCCTAGAATACGACACCACAACATCTAGCATGAGAATGGAGGTGGAGGCGGTAACTGCAGCTCTCCTGTAGCTAGAGAACAAGATGCATACACATGTCGTTATGATAAAAGACTCTAAAGGCATGCTGAGAAAAGTGGAGACAGGGATGCTTCGAGCAGAGTGGCAAGCTTCACTAGGAAGGTCATGGGTAGTGAGCATACTTTGGATCTTTTCTCCAGGCTTTGTTGGCGTATTGTGTAATAAACAGGAGGGCAGATTGGACTGAATCTGCACCACTGGGTGGTGAAATGATACATGACAAGGCAGATGTGGTCAAGGCCCTTTGGAAACAAGCAACGGAATCAGTAGCGACACAAGATTATTATGGCCTAGAGAGAATGAGGCACCTGGGTGTAACCAGAGGGTCTGGCCGGCTCACTGCACTCAGAGGAAAGGCAAGACGAGCATAAAACTAGATTGTGACCGGTGCCATCAGTATTGGAACTCTGCATTAGCTGCGGAAGATGAGGACGGAACTCAACTCTCCACGTGGTAATTTCATTACAATCATGAGGATGGAGCACACATGGCAATGCCCAGAGTGCTGTGATGTCAATTCTTGACTTAACTTGTTGTGTAATTATGCATGGGGCTGAAACTGAATTATTATTTAAAGTAAATTGCATGTCCTTTTCAGGACACCGTTTTAATATATATATATATATATATATATATATATATATATATATATATATATATATATATATATATATATATATATATATATATATATATATATATATATATATATATATATATATATATATATATATTGGTTATTGTTTAGTTTTTTCACAACTGCATACTCAGATGGTGTTCCCCACATAACTGCATTACAGAGAACAACCCCCATGTACAAACTCCAAGCAGAAAAGACCAGCCTATTATACTCGCTCATGCAAGAAACAGTGAAAAAAAAGTCCTTTTCATGATGCTAGATTTATTTTCCAATGAAAGAGTACTTATGATAGGGACTTTCAAAAACACTGTTACTACTGTCTGACTTTCAAAAACACTGTTACTACTGTCTGACTTTCAAAAACGCTGTTACTACTGTCTGACTTTCAAAAACACTGTTACTACTGTCTGACTTTCAAAAACACTGTTACTACTGTCTGACTTTCAAAAACGCTGTTACTACTGTCTGACTTTCAAAAACACTGTTACTACTGTCTGACTTTCAAAAACACTGTTACTACTGTCTGACTTTCAAAAACGCTGTTACTACTGTCTGACTTTCAAAAACACTGTTACTACTGTCTGACTTTCAAAAACACTGTTACTACTGTCTGACTTTCAAAAACACTGTTACTACTGTCTGACTTTCAAAAACACTGTTACTACTGTCTGACTTTCAAAAACACTGTTACTACTGTCTGACTTTCAAAAACACTGTTACTACTGTCTGTATGAACCGTTTTTAGGGTGATTTTAACAAGGGTTAGTGAGCCTGAGGTTCTAGGGCCGCACGGCTAGTGCTGTCGCCACGGAATGTGCAGGTTGGGATAATATGGACTACCACACATACATTAATGGAAACTTTTTCAGGCACTGGCTGGAGAATGATCTTATACCAATTCTGGACAGACCAGCATGCTTAGTAATTGATAATGCCTCCTATCACAATGGCCGCATCAGAGCAAGAAAAAAATATCTACTATATCAAATACAAATTATCAAATTAGGACAGGGCTTGCTAAGCAAATGGTCAAATTTGAGGATACATTTGAAGCCACAGTTGTCGCAGCTTGTGAGGAGAGCAAATAAGACATAGTTGTAGCATCCGCGCCAATGTGAACGCAAATGTTTGTTATTTCAGAGTTCAGATCCGGTTGTTGTCGGGGAATCCTAAATACAACCTACAGGTTGAACTGGGTTTCTGGGTTTGTAAGACTTGAGCCCAGGCTGTTCTCATCCGAATGGTGGTATTTTGTGTCACATAGTATTTCTCGCTCGTTGTGTGCCTCTGGTGGGGTGGAACATCAGTCACTACCTCGGTCACTCACTCATAAAAGTATCACACTGACAAAATATTTAAGGAATATGGCAATAGTTTTCTGCGACCCTTTGCATGTCAGTCACACTTTAACCCGAAAGAGCTTGCTTCGGCTAAAGTCCTCGGGTAAGTTGCTGAAATGAACAGAATAGTCCAAATGTGTGATGTTGAAGTTCTGACACGAGAGGCCCTCTCAAAAATAGATATTCAGTTTTGAGAAAAGTCTGTTCAACATCTGCTTCTAGAGGAAGATGAGTACTGCCACCTAGGTGGATCAAAATTTGTTCGGCCATTTATCAATCGTCAGATTTGGAACGATTGAAACCATTTTTTTAATGTGTTGAATATCATCAACCCGTTACGTATATCTACAATGGCAAGAAATACATTTCTATATACAGAGGTGATTATACAGATCGCGTTACAATTAAATAAAAGGGGCCTAATGGTGACCGAAAAAGAGTATATTAGATCATACTTATTGAAGACATGTATGTATTTTAAAAAAAATTTTAATTCAAACTACTATGAAGATACGTTTCTGAAAAAGAAAAATCATCTTAAAATTAAAATATTTACTGTAAAATCTACAATTTCATTCTCCTTTTTTACAATGGTTCAAACGATTAAACGAATTGGCTAATTTGTAAAATCTTGGGCAAGTTTGGACTAAAGAATATCATTATTTTTTCTTCTGGAATATTCAAAGGCTCCATGCAAATAATTTGCAATCTAAAAGGCAATTTTCGAGGAAATAAACTGTAAACGTGTTCACAAATTTCTGAACTGACTATAGTGACAGTAGTCATATGATTTGTAGCATGGCAGACTAGTTTACGAAATGCATTGTCAATTGGCTGGCAGCAAGTCTACTGTCTTTTGAAAAGTAAATGCCTTTTTTTTAACTGCGGTATTAATTGTTCATCAAAACGTGTCAATCCATCAAACAGATGCCGTCTCCACGAAAACGGATTGCTGCAATGAACATGCGACACGCTCCGTTTCCTAGTCTTGGTGTACATTCTCTCTCTGACTGCTGTTTGTCCGTCTCTTGATGTTGTTTTCCCACTTGTATCGTTGTTGACCTCTTGATCCCCTGTCCTAGATCTTTCCCTTCAGTATAGTTTTTAAAAGAGCGTTATATCTTTTAAAACGTTTCCATTACCTATTTTTTCCCTTTTTTTTTTTTTTTTTTGTAGTAAATATCTTTTTATTTGTTGTCTTTCCAAAACATATGTATTTGATTGGTTTTGTTTCTGTAAAATACGACCGAATCTTCTTTATATCTACATTTCCAGACACTCAGTTAAATTTTCTAGTTGCTTGTTCATTGTCCACGTTTCTGCACAATACAGTATGGTTGTATACGCATACCATTTAACTATTCTCATTGTTAATGCGTTATTTTATCTCTCTAGCTGTGAATAATTGTTCGACTCTTATTGAAGATAGTTTAAGCCCTTCCTATTCTCTTGTTAATTTCTGTTTTACTTCTGCCATTATCTGTTATTTATGTTTCAAGATAGGAGAAACTTGTTAGTTGTTCTAATATCTCTCCGTAAGGGCTGCGTGGTCTCAAGGCATGGTGTCCGCCTCGAGTGCTAGATGTTTCAGGTTCAATCCCCTGTAAGGGCTGGGATTTTATAACGTGGACTTGATTGGAATTCTAGTAATTTAGTCTGGTCTCTGGGTAGTGAGATCGGACG